TATGTATGTATGTATGTATGTATGTATGTATGTATGTATGTATGTAATGTCCCCCTAAATTTTACTTTATATTTTTAAAACAGTCATATTCATTCTATATTATAAGTACAGTTATAAGCTACTTGTACTTTTTTCCTTGTTTACAGTTTAAAATGAAGATTTGAAAGACTAAATGTCATTTTAAAACTTTTACTTGTTTTCCCATCTGGAGTTTCCCTAAATGTTTTGAAAACCCCTGTTTTTTTGTTTTTTCCAAATTCCAGAGTGATTTAAATTTGCTCAAATGGCAAGATGGCGGACTCTCACTGCAACGCAGAACAAGGTAAGGAGCCGGAGGGGGGGGCTACCGGGCAACCGCGCTACCGGGCAACCGGGCTACCGGGGCCGGAGGGGGGGCTACCGGGCTACTGCGTCCTAGGGCTCCCGCGATACCGGGGTTCGGTGCGGGTCTACTCTGACAGTGATATCGAACCGGGGTCGGGGGTCCGGGTCTCCCCTCTGGGGAGCCCCGGCCCCCCTCCCCCGGTGGCCGTTTTCCCCGATATTCCCCAGTTTTCCCGGTATTCCCGGTTTTCCGTTTTTCGTCTTTTACCGCGGTATCGCGGTAGCCCGCCCACTTCCTTGTTTTTGTCACATGACTAAAAACAAGTCACATGACTAAAAACAAACCAATGAGAATCTAAACTAAAGCAGATTCAACCAAATATCTTAAAGATTTAGGGGGGGGGGCGGCGGCACGGAGCTACCGGGACACCGGGCTACCGGTGCCGGGGTCCGGTAGGGGGCTACCGGTAGGGCATGCCGAGTGCCAACGTATGTAATAATCTGAGAAAAATGTTCTGGCGTATTTTTTTAAATCCTCACGCTCACACCAACTGTATTGGCAACTAAATTTTTTCAAAGAATATGATTAAAATAGGTGTGTGTGTGAATGGGTGCATGAACTAGGGGGGTGGTCCATAACGAACCACACTCCATACCAGCAGGTGGCGGTAATGCTGCTTAAAGCTTGTTGCAAACCGCCAATAAAATCAACAAGAAGAAGAAGAAGAAGAACTGTATTGGCAATGTACTGAGTGGTGCAGAGGATAAACCGAGCTCCGAGGGGCCGTGGGGAAAGAGGGCAACTGCCAGAAGACTCCATATCGTCTTTGGACTGTATTCCGAGAGCGGACATGGCAAAAGGTTGGCTTGCTTTTGTGCTGTTAGTAGTTATGGCGTCATGGAGGTATAAGTTCGAGTTGTTTAGCCGACAGCGAAGGCCGGTGTGTCAAAACAGACAACCGACTTTGCACACAAAACTCACCGGTGTTTGTGTAATGTGGCCTGAGCTAGACAAGAATGCTCACTTATAGTTATTTCGTTTTCATAAAGGGAAAAAAGGTGTGCTGAGAACCGACAAAAAGTCAGAGAACACCGGTGAACGTACAGTCACCGCACAGACTGAGACAAAGGAGAACAAGCCTGCAGCTGAAAAGGTACGTGTTGTTGTTTATGGCTTAAACGACTTTGTTAAAGTATCAAACCAGTATGTATTACCCATGTTGTTTAAATTAATACAACGGGCGTAATACCTCAGTTTATCTATCATGAAGTTTACAGTTATACGTAGTCGTACTGCAGGGCTTCTATTCATCCAAAGTTGAATCTTAGAAGTAAAACTGTCCCTGTGGCCCCCACGAGGAAATAAAGCTACACCATCGGCACAATGTCCTGTTCAATTGTTTTGTTTTTTTAATTGAGTGCTATGAAACATTGTAATGGGTTATCTATTTGATATGTTGTAGCATGCTGGCATATAAAAACCTTATATACATATTTTATATATATATATATATATATATATTGAAATTGGTTATTTTGAACTTTTTTCATGTAGTATTT